TTATTATCCTCGTCCCAACCCCATTTTGGACGCACTCACGCGGGTGATTTCGTCAACTCAATCCAAACCCAAAAAAAAAAAACAAAAAAAAAAAACAATTGCATAAACTTGTAATATTCATTGATGTGATTGAAAGAACTATTGCATGGATAATTTCTTTCCTTTATGTAGATCTGCACTCAGGAAGTTCAGCTTCAAACTCTTCCACTTTAGTAGGTTTTGATGAGCGAATGTTGCTTCACTCAGAGGTAGGGTCCTGCCTCCAATGTGTCCCCTTTATGCTTCCTGTGCTTTTAATTAGGGCCCCTTCCACTTTTGTTCTCAGTGTTAATATGCCTATGTCTAATTCATGTTATTCTGTTGTCCCTTCCAATTATAACCATAGAAATGGAATGGAGAGACTATGTTTAATTTTCATTAAATCATTATCTAGCATTATATGTTTTTACTTAATAGTTGGTCTTATGACAGACAAAATTGCCAACATTTTGATGGTTGTAATTTATATTGATGGTTAGTCAAATTGTAATCACAAATTGTGATGAAAATATAGAATTTTATTGAAACATTGAAACTTCTGAAGTTGCATTTTGTCGATCAGGATTTGCTTAGAATTTTTTGTTGAAATGCTGTCTTTCTTTTAAGGCTAGTGAGATTTATCTCATAAACTCGTAATATTGAGAATCAAATCCACTTTTGTATCAGATATGTGGAATGCTTTGGAATGCTTCAGTTTAGCATATACATAATTAATACAGTTTGTCAAACTAATTTTAGATTTAAGTTTTGATCCATACTAAATTTTATAATTAATAACCGTTTATGTTTTTTGTATGTATTGGACTTATTTTGTATATGCTTCTTCAATTTCTTATTTGTTGGTGCTTGTTTTGCTGGAGTAGGTTGAGATGAAGTCACATCCGCATCCAGAACGGCCAGATCGTCTCCGAGCTATTGCTGCTAGCCTTGCTACTGCAGGTACTTCCTTTTTAGCAGACATTTTTGGTGTAGATTAAGGGCCTTTGGTCTCTCTTGACAATTAGGCGTATTGATGATTTTACTAAATAAGCAAATTGACAAGAAAATGTTGATATTCAACTTTACAGGTATATTTCCTGGTAGGTGCCACCCAATTTCTGCAAGAGAAATTACCCCAGAAGAACTTCAAATGGTGAGGATTGCTCATTATAAATGGTGTTTTTATGTTGTGCTGATTCTTTTTTTTTTTTTCCTTTGTAAAGATGATTATTAACTGTCTGAGTCCACTTGACTTTACACCTTTTTCTAATTAAATTTAACCAAAAATGCCATTTCTTGTTTCTCAACGTAACCTCTGATATTTTTGGTATTACTTTTTGGAATTTTTAGGTCCACTGCTCAGAGCACATTGAAGCTGTCAGACTTACTAGCCGGATTTTTTCTAGGTATATCAATTATTACTCTCTATTTTTGTCTCTCTCTGTATGCGTGCGTGGGTGGCTGTGAACATTTGTTGTCTCTTAGAAGGGTGGATAGAGGCAAGGGAACAAGATATTTAGTGATTAACATCTAATTGAGTTGAAGACTTGCATTTCTCCCTAACATGACTTATTAGTCGTTTATTTTCTTGTATAGCTTCCTCTTGGGGAAGAGATGGTTTTTCCTCAGTAATTAATAATTATGGTGACCAGTTCTTTCTTTCTTTGACTTGTCTCCATTGATGCAATTCTTTGTGGGTTGAGCTATCTTAGTTCTGGCCAATGCATTTCTTAATTGATGGTTTCTCTTCTGTGGTTCTATAGTTAATCTATGAAAGAGAAGGAAAAATGAATTTTAGAAGGTTGAAAAGCATTGGAATTTGTCACCTGATTAGTGGTTCACAGGCTACATCCATTAGATAATTAGCATATATACAATGGTATATGCCCTTATTGAGCCTTATTTTCACTTTCTAGAAAATTGGCTAATGGCATGGGCCATGAGGTGATTCTGTTTATGGGCACTCATCACATTTTGCTGAGCCCAACCCATGCCACTATACCAGCAGCCTAGGATTTATCATTTCTTTATTTTGGGAGTTCAGTAAACCTTTACTATCTTACCATTTGAGGACTAAAAAAGGCATAGATCTAACTGTTCATTGTCAAACCCTAATCCCTTTCTAATCTTTTCACTCTAAACTGCTGCTCAGAGGGATTTGTGACTTGAGGTTATTAACTGTAAGGAAAAGAGTTCTTTCTTCTAGATATCCAGTTGCATTAAAATTTCAAGAATAGTTATCCAAACAACAAATATACAAATTCAAGGGTTTGAAATGGCTGCATTTCCAAATTCTCTGAACATCAATAAATAAAGGCAGAGTTGTTAATTTTTCTTTGGTGACTTGAAAGCATTTTAAGTGGAAGCGCTTACATCGAATCTCTCCTTTTCTTTTTTCAAAAGGTAGGATCCCTTTTGCTTCCCAGGTTAAGGTAGGAGAGAATCTTGAGAGGACTAATTAGGTTTGTAGTTACCAGGAGTGATCAATTGATTTTGTAAGTTCTGTTGCTAGATATTAAAATTAATTGCATTCTGTTAACCTGCTGAGATGAGGCATGATTGGTCATTAATGGGTTATCTCACACTGCAGTTACTTTACCCCTGACACGTATGCCAATGAGCATTCAGCATGTGCTGCAAGACTTGCTGCTGGTCTGTGTGCTGATCTTGCCTCAGCGATTTTTTCTGGACATGCAAAAAATGGTTTTGCTTTGGTGAGGAACATGTTTCTGTGTTTTAGGTTTCTTCCCAAATGATATAACTTATAGGGGGCTTTTATATTTTTGCCCCCCCCCTCTCTCTCTCTCTCTTTTAGTTTTTTAATTATTTTTATTTTTTAACTTCTGTTTAGGTCCGGCCTCCTGGCCATCATGCTGGTGTAAAACAGGCAATGGGATTTTGTCTCCACAATAATGCAGCAGTTGCTGCCTTAGCTGCTCAAGTTGCAGGGGCAAAGAAGGTCCTAATTCTTGATTGGGTAATGTCTTCTGAGCTTCTTCAGACTAATAATTTCTTTTACCTAGGACCATTAGGGTAACTATGTAATTATGGAAGTTGATGAGTATTGCATGTGGTGTGTCTGAAATTATTAACTCGTTTCCTGGATTTTTGCAGGATGTTCATCATGGGAATGGTACCCAAGAGATATTTGAGCACAACAAATCGGTGAGCTACTGAGCTCCATGATAGTTCCATGCAGGCATATCAACTTTTTAACAAACTGGTCATTTCCAGTGAAATAATTAGCTGGAAGTGGAATGGTGCTGCTTATGTCAGTTTTGTAATGGGAACTGTATAGAGTAAACCAATTATCTTAACGTTGGACTAGTGAAACCATTAAAAAATCCTGTTATTTGATCTTGAGATAGAAAATCTCTTCTTAGATATCATTTGCGGATGATATGAAAAGCAAACATAAGCATGCACTGAGCAGATAACTCTCTACTTTTCATTTTGTTGGTGCATATTCTTAGGTTTTTGGTGTTTAATTTAATGTCAAATGTCCTTTTCCTCCTCTAGGTATTGTATATATCCTTGCATAGACATGAAGGAGGAAAGTTCTACCCAGGTACTGGGTCTGCTGCTGAGGTACTTCATTACTTATAATCTTTTATTCTCAATTAAATGCATCCCACAATTCTGCTAGAAACATAGGCATCTTAGATTGTATGGGGCTATCTGCTGCATAAGGAGAAGAGAAGAGAAGAATGGTAAAAATGTAAAATATAAGGATAAAGATGATTTGTGTGTAACGTTTACTTCTTATGTGCCTTGGCCCTGGGGGGCTGTTTGGTACTGGCCATATGTGATTCTGACCTTTTCAAGATTGACATATTCGCATTTATCTGGCTGCTTTTAACAATTTATGATGCAATTTCAATTCTCAATTTGTCTTCTTGATTGTACAAGTATCCAAACTTAAATCATAGTCTGGATTGGGCCACCTGCCACCCATGGGGTAAACTGTCGTTGTAAATAATTCCTGGAAAATGTGATCAGGAGGATCAAAGTTGCTACTTCTTTCTAGGTTATGGCCATACTGATATCAGAGGGTTGGATTTTTGCCAAAGATGAATATTCTGCAGATTAGACTATCTAGTTGTTCATAGTTGGTCTGCCCTTTCACTCTGAGTAATTGATGCATTCTATGCTTATTCATGTAGTAACATCTGCTCTCATGGTGCATCAACCAATTTTTCTGCTTGTTGACCCCTTGTTTTACATCTGTTAGGTCTCTTTTCCCATGTCTGGTCACTCATCTATGCACACAAATTTCAACACGCATGTTGAAAACTGCACTTTCATACCATTTGTTTAATTTTCATATTTTGGACTATAATCCATTATAAATGACAATTTAATTTGTAGGTTGGTAGTAAAGGTGCAGAAGGATATTGTGTCAATATTCCATGGAGCCGTGGAGGAGTTGGTGATAATGATTATATTTTTGCTTTTCAACATGTTGTTCTTCCAATAGGTTATTATCTCTTAATGTTGTACTTTTCTTATATCCATCTTTATTAATTTGGAGGAGGAATGTTGGATGGCATACTAAACCTGTACGAATTAACTGCTGAGTCTACAATTCATGCAGTATTAATTTGGTCTGTCGTTCAATGCTGTCCGGTTGTGGCATTTCCTTTCCAAACACTATTTGTTCCATGACAATTTAATTGTTTTGTTAATATTCATGCATGCTAAATGTGATACATGCCAATGTTTCTTATGGTGCTCTATTTTGAATGTTGGACATTTAAAAAATATTGGTGATTGCATACTTTTGTGATAGCAAATGGTATGTTGGCAAAGGAATTTCCAGTTACAATGCATTGGATGATTACTTCTTAGACTCCACGAAATGATTAGCAGTTGTGGATGTTTTCATTAACTGTAAATATATATCTATATATATATATTGCTTGTGTACTACTTAGATTTTCTTAAGCATGCAGAAACTTTTATCACCATGGGAATAATAACTATAGAAACATAAAGTTCTATACACTTGTAACTGAAGATGGGGATTTTGTTGTATTTGTGCTTTTTCTCATGTTTCATAAGTGATGGGTAGTGTGTCTAGTATCTAGATGCTTACCTTAGCAATTATCTTTTCTATCTCAATAACTACTGTAATTCTCACTACTATTTCTTATGCTCAAGTCTTGCTGATGTTATTTAAATGTATTGCAGCATTAGAGTTTGCTCCTGACTTTACCATCATCTCGGCCGGATTTGATGCTGCTAGGGGTGATCCTTTGGGATGTTGTGATGTGAGTATATCTGCTTCTCATGTATAATATTCATTGTTTCAAGATTTGATAAGTAGAAATTTCTGAACAATCTATTGCTCTGGTGATGCAACATGCAAAATCATCCATTTAGCTGCATTTTGAGGAGACAGCTCTTGCAACTGGCCTCTTCCAGTTCTCTTTTTTCACCTTAGATTGTCTTAAAAATTCCGTTTCTTTAATTTGATGAACACTTTGAATAGAAGAAAAATAGTGTTATTTCTTTTTTGTTAGCACTATAAAGTTTTTAAATATGAACTATGAAGCCATGTTCATATTCTTGTTTCTCAAGTGACATAAAAATTTTTTTTTTTTGAACTTTAAATTTTAGGTGACTCCTGCTGGCTATGCACAGATGACACACATGCTGAGCTGTCTCTCTGGTGGGAAGTTGCTTGTTGTTCTTGAGGGCGGGTTTGTGCTTTATTTTCTGCAGTTTCGATTTTCCATCAACATCTGCCTTTCTATTTGGGTGACAGAATTGGGAATTTGTCTTTCTGCAGCTATAATCTCCGTTCAATATCATCTTCTGCTACTGCTGTGATTAAGGTGACTTCTCCTTTTGAGGCCTGTAACAAACATGACTAGAGATATTTCATTTGTTCAGTACTTAGTACTTCATGTGAAATACTACTAAAATCTTTTAGTTTTCTCCAGTTAAAAATATATATATATATATATTTGTTTTGGAGGGTTGTATATCATCTATACCATATTTGTCTTATAATTTTGTGCTACTGTTTTATCAATCATGACATTATACCTTCCTTCTGTAGTACACCACATTTCTGACTTGGTTTTTGGTAATTAAAATGAAGGTACTGCTGGGTGAAAACCCTGGAGAAGAATTGGAAGATGCCATTCCATCTAAAGTTGGCCTACTCACTGTTCTGCAAGTCTTGAAGATTCAGATGAACTTCTGGCCTACTTTGGCTTCTAGCTTGGAAAAATTGCAGGCCAAATGGGGAATGTATTCTATCGAAAACAAAAGTGAGGAATTTGTTTGCAAACTTCTCTCGTGTTTCTGGTGTCGTTTTCAGTTTTATTTTATTTTGTTTTGTTTCATTCAGTATAATTAGAGGGGAAAGGTATCACATTTGTCTTCTTTTTTTTTTTTTTTTTTTTGTTTGGGAGGGGGAGGAGAGAGTGGAGTGGGGAGTGGGTGATAGGGGTGTCTGTATGGTGTGGCTGGGTGGAGTTGAGGTGAGCTGAGCCTGAGATTGTTGTTGGGCTGGTAGCTTAAGGTACTGGGAGCAAAGGGTCATGACTGTGAAATAGGGGGCTGATACGAATTAAATTTTACCATCCCGCTTCCACTCAAGTTGGTATTTCTAGGTGACACTGTTTTAATTAATATCCAGTTCTTGCATATATGCATTTTAAGTTCAAACTTGATTCGATAAAGTATCCAATTTGTGTTTAGCAACTATACCAGATTGACTTGGAATTTGGTACACATGATTTTCATGATTAGATATTTGATTATACTGTTTTTTTTTTTTTTTTTTGTCCTCAGGAAAACATACTGAAAAGAGGCGGCAGTTCCTGCCACCACTTTGGTGGAAATGTGGAAGAAAACGGTTGTTGTATCATTTTCTTAGAGGACAGGTTCCTGTAAAATCAAAAGGGTTTTAGAAAATTTTTGCCTATTGATATGCTTTAAACTAAGAGCATAGTATCACCTGACCTGGGGTCGCAAAAGGGTGTAAGAAATTTTGTTCTTATTCACATCCCTTTTGTCACGTAATTCTGTGCATCCTTGTACGCCTCCAGTGATCTTCAACTACACTACGCCATTTTCTCCATTTGTAACGTTATCTTTGTTTAGTTAGAAAAAAAGAATTTGTCTTCCGTTTTAATTTTTTTTGGTGTTATGATTTGTGAAGTTAAAGTAGCTATGACTAGAAAGGAGAAAGGTACGAAAATTAAGTATTTGTAATTATGAGTTTATTGTTTTGATTTTGCCATGTAATATGGAGCTTAAAGCAGAAGATTATCTAAAATGTTGTGCTGCTACTGAAGTAAAGATAGGTAAAATGTAGTACAGATGAAAAAGTTAATTACATAAATGCTCTCACGTTCGCATGCATAGCTTACGACTGAATCGAAAAGTTGTTCTTTATTATGCTCTTACCTTTATTATGATCAAAATTGACAAAGTTAGGAGAGTTCTTTTCGCAATCAGCATGATGTTCTTCCGAGGTTTCTGGAGACAGGTCTTCAATTCATGGGAGCATCTATTGGTGAATTGTTGGTGGTGCCATTGGATAAGCAACAGGGACCATATATGGAGGGGGATGGTGTCCTGGAGGAAGCATGACAGGAGTTCCCACAGCCGATGCCATGTGACCTGGAGATGCAACTGGTCGCCCAAGAGGTGCTCCGTACATGCCTAAACCTTGCAAATGTGTCTGAGCCCTGTGTTTTGCTGGTTGTCCCATTGCAGCTGTACCTGATGGGTTTGTGTTGGGCTGTTGGCCAGTAATTGGAGCGTGGGGAGAAGATGCATCCCCGTTGTTCACGCTAGTAATGTCGTGGATACTAGACCTTCTCCTGTCCCTGTTCATTGAGTTCAAGCGGATGAAGTACTTTTGAGCATGGCTAGCCACTTGGGTAGGCGTTCTTGATATTACAAAGTTTCTGGAAATGCTCCTCCAATCTCCTTTCCCGAACTTGTCTAAACCAAGAAGAAATAACCTGGAAACTAATATCTGGTTAGTGTCATCTCTATCTTTTACCCAATTCTCCTTTTCCAGTGCTAAATAACTAACATTAGATGGAGAAATCCAAAAGAATACCTGTGCTCCTCTTCTGTCCAGGGAATCCCTTTCCTCCTCTCCTGGTCTGACCTCGTACCTCCTTTCCCTGCATGACCACCAGAGTCATGGCTGGACACACAGAACCCATTGCCGAAACCACTACTCGATCTCTTATCTGAAGCAGCAGCACTGGAAAAGCCGTGAAAATCCCTGGCAGAAGGTATTGCATTTTCTCCTGCATAACTAGGTAGTGGCACTCTACCAGCCTCTATTGCACTAACATCCTCTACCAGCATGTGATAATGTTGCTTCAATTCTTCAAGACTCTTGGTAGGAACCATTGAAGCAATCTTGTCCCATCTTTGCTCCTCCAAGTTCTCCTCAACCCAGAACATTGCAATGGCGTTTTCGAATGACTTCTCCTCTTCTCTGCTCCAAGTGACCCTACTTGTCATGGCTTCCCAAATATATCAATCTTTTTCTTTTGAAGTTGAGTCTGTTTAAAGGCTTCGATCTGAATTTTGAGTTTCAGTAGGGGAAAGAAGAGAAAAGGGGGTGCGTAGGATAGAGGAAAGAAGGTATGTGCAGGACAAAGGAGTGGGGTTGGGGTATCAAACTATCAATCAGTAAGGACCACCTTGTGAAATGATGTGAGAGTTTGTCATCTTCGCATCCCAACATACAAAACTATGGAAATTTTTCTGTACATATATTCAACCACGCATACACGTTGTGTGTGTACGTATATGTATTTTCTCTAATCATGGAGGGATACAAATCAAAATCAAAGAAGATGAGGTGAGGTCCAAGAATCTGGTGAATTTCTATTGTTGCGTGTAATTTTGACCCTCTTCTAAATTCAAAGTTTTACATCGACTTTGTCCACACTTTAGTTATTGAAATTAAGATTTCGAAATTAATTATACTAAGTGGAAAATATCATGATAGTTCACACGAGAGGAAGACTCACAAAATTAGATTCAAATTTGGGTCCTAGCATTATGTATTTTCTTTTTTAGTACAATTGATAATGAATTATATAAAAAGGAATAGTCTCGCTTTTCCATACATTTTTTCATTTAATTTAAAATTTAAACATGAAATCTTTGATTTGAAATCTCAATTCCTAAGTAATTGAGCCATTCTTTGGAAGTAAGACCTAATATTATGCTTGGATTGATAGAAATAAAGGAAATGAGTGTCAAGAGAAATGAGAGAAAAGAAAATGGAAAGAAAGATGCTTACTTTATTGGAATCGAAATAAGTTTAAAATTAATAAAGTTAAAGAAAAAAAAATGATAAAAAATATTATACATTCACACTGAGAGTTTTTAGGGTAAATTTTCTTAATAATTAGTAGAATTATTTAAATTTAAGACTTTTTAAAACTTCATCATTGTTTTTAAATCAATCCCTAGGTTTTGTTCTTAATGGATAGTTCAACTAATTAAAAACTTAAAATTTTATATTAGAGATTTTAGATTCAAATTTTAAGTTGAGTGAAGAAGGATAAGAAAAAAATAAAATAGTTATTTTTTCTTATATAATCTATAATTATATATGTATATAACCTCTTAAGTTTTTTTTTTTTTTTTGGTATAAATGATTTCCTATTTGTCATATTAGTAATCTTATACCTTCACAACATGACAACAATTTTACAAAACAATCTTGTCGAATCTTACAACTACTTTACTCAAACTAGTTCACATAAAAAGTTTAATAAAACTAGTTCACATAAAGAGTTTGATGGTGAAAGTGACACACATATATAGATAGGTAGGTCGTCGTCTTCCTAACTTTTTTTTAAAAGAATTTATTTAAAAATTTATTTTTTTGAAAAACTAATCATTAAATTAAAAGTTTTACTTATATAGATAAAAAATAATAATTAAAGTACCCCCACACAACAAAACTTAAGATGTCTTAAGAACGAAGGGGCATTAGAAACTTCTTGGGGAATCATTTCTTCCATTAACTTTCACTGATATTCGTTCTTGGGGAATTGACATTTGAGTTTGGTTGTGGTCCAATATGCAACTTGTCTTTCACAATAGGCTAGGAATTGCTTGGTCTAGTTGATTATGACCCTTGAGTAAATTACTACAAGACATTTGATAATACAAGTTTCCGTCTTACCAACGTGTTGGAAGGAATAATATAATATGCACCGAGTTTTGCAAAAATTACCCAACAAAGGAATATTATATTATTTTTCTTAAAAAAAATTAAGAGTTTTGAATTTTTAATTTAATTTCATTTAATAAAAGATATAATTACCAAGACAAAAAGAAAAATAGAATCCTCTTCTTTTTCATGTGGGAATATGCTACAAATCAAAATTTAATAAAATTTAATTTATCAAAATTAGCTCAAGTGGTAAGGATACATCTAAATTGAGAAAATAAATTCTAATATCTTTATTGTTATTTAATTATAAATAAGATTAATGAGTGTTAAAGTGGAACTTTATTGAATGGTTGTGTATAAAGCAATTTATAGATATTTATTATAAGGTGAGTTAGCAGAAGACCCAAATACCTATGTTTTCCTAAAAAAAAAAAAGAGAGAGAGAGAGAAAATTACAACAAACTAACCTGAATAACCCCTTTGATAGGATTAAGATTTGATTAATTGATTAAACCATTAAAAAATTTCTCTAACTCTATTAATGTGCACCTTCCAAAAGTCTTAGGATTCTTTTTGGGTTTTCGTTTTTGTCCTTCACGTTATTGATTCTTTTGGACGAATTGCAAACAATAATGATGAAGATTAGATTAGCCAAAAAAAAATGATGAAGATTAGATTAGCCAAAAAAATGATGAAGATTAAATTAGCATCTCAAGGATTCATGCGCAGCCTGGTTTGGTCATGTGTCCCATCAACACTTCTACACTACAACCGTATCCTTCCGTGTAAAGGTATACACAAATAATTAAATTTTATTTTGGTTTAGTTATTAATAATAATTAATAATTTATAAAATAATTGATATTTTAATTATTTTAGTTAATAATTTTCTTTAGATGCAATAGAATAACCAATTCATTTTGCCTGTAACTATTATACAACTTCATTGTGAGATAAAATCACGTGTGTATAATTTCAGTTTCACTAGCTATATATATACCCTGTATTACATGGTTCTGCAGCTGCGGTCTTGTTCAATCCAGCATCAAATTCTTCAGATATTTTGCCTGCAACAAAAATCTTTAGATTTTAAAAGCTCATAGTAGTTGCCAAAACCATCAATTTAGAGCTTGAAGAAGTAAAGCCATCCACATATGATGAGTTTAGCTTTCATTGACACAGTTGTCTAAACTGGTATCTTCTATAACAATATAAGGTTTGACAATAACAGCCAGTTACATGGCAAGCCTTTCAAATGCAAGAGAAATGGAAATATTCTCCATGTTCAACATCCCTAAAAAATACAGTTTTGGTATTCCTTCATCATCTTCCCTTTACTTGAGATTTACATTTATCTTTTGAATAAAAAAAAATAATGATTGAGAAAAGAAAAGGTAACCCTGAAATTATGGGAAGTCCAGTGGAAGTTGCCTTTTGCAATCACACTATGAGGTAGTAGTTCATGCACCTTAAAGACAAATTCAAGTTTCTGACTGTCACACATCTGGAAGAAAAGGTACTGCCAAATAAAGAAAATTCCATTAACTTGCCTTACAAGTCAATAAGCCCTGCAAAAATAATTGGTTCACAGCTGTCTACTTCCAAGACTTGACAATGCTACCATTGGGATTTTGGTTCCCTTTCCCTTTAAGAGATGATTGCAGTTTGCCAGCAAAATGTGATTCAGAGACTGAAATACTATTTTTCTTCAAGTGAAAAGGAGATTCTTTGACAGCTAGAAAATGTCTAGAAGTTACAGTTGCTCTCTATATTTGACATTGGTAGGCATAGTGAAGAATTTAATGTAGTGAAAAGAGCACAGAAACCACAAAACCATCTAAGAAAAATGTAAAATTTTTACTTGTATTTCTCCAAGGAGGTGTCCCCAATATCATTGAAGGAATCAACAACTTCTGACTCAGAAATCTTAGATATAAGCTGATGTATTTCAGTTTTCATTCTTGCCTGCCTCCATAGCCGATGTTGTTCATGTTCAGCAACAGCACACCTTCTTTGAAACCATGGTAAAAACTTGAGTCCATTCAGAAAACGTCTTTTGGAAATAAATATCTAACAGATTGAATTGACTTAAGGTAGCTATCAGAAAAGGAAGGCAGAACCAATGTGAAGAAGGCAATGGGTGAGCAAAAGAAACCAAATAATAAAATCTAGGAATAGGACAAAAACAAATCTAACTGAAAAAATAAATTACTTGCATAAGTCTAACTGTTATTTAGATCTCTAACTATTAAATTAGATGAAACTACTAAGCATTAATTTCAAACCACTATACCAAACAATTTTTTCATGCAATTTGACAAAAACTCGCCTGCACCTCCTGCGGATGAACTTGAAAGAAATTCATCAATATAGTGGATGGATGGAGGGGTAGTCCTAAAATATGGTCATCTCTAGCAACAACATGAGTATAATGGGTTGTAAATTATAAGCAGGATATTTGCCATGAAATTGGAAGGGAATGAAGGTTTGAAACATTTTTAGAGCAACATTAAAATTTAAAAGTTTGAGGCATATTTCCATCCCAAAAAAAGAAAAAAAAGTTTGAGGCATAAAAATTGTATTTACACTTTTACTGTTTTTTCAAAAAGATCCTCCCCAGTTTTCATAAGCCAAGTCCAAGGCAGAGTAGGCACCCAATTTTTTTTTTTGGGTGGTAAACTTGTAAACGTGACGCGGTTAGTCACGCACCCCAAGACCAAAATCTGAAGGTTTCATTTCCAGTCCGAGTCCAACCCGGAAAGGGGAAGACCCTAAATGATTACACCCTTTTTACCCCTTTTTTTTATAATTAAGGATTTGGAAAAATTAATATATTTACTTATATTATAAAAAAATTTAAAAATAAAGTCATATTTTTGTGTAATAGAATAATTAATTAAAATAAATAAATAATGATAAGATTAAATAAGAAATAATATTTATTTACTTAAAAAATAAAAAATAATTAATTTAAAATAACCTTAAAATAAAAGATAACAATTAATTTGAGAAAAAAGAGTTTAATATTAAAACAAGTATGGTAGATTGTGTGGGGGTATCTCTTGAATTTCTGCTCAACAAACCAACTTATAAGTATTTTTTTTGTTGATAATGTCTCTTTAAATGTAATATCTCTTTAATGCTATGTCATCGTAATTTATATTATTTTATTTAATTCATATTTAAATTTAGATACAAGTAAGCTTGACAATCTTTGCCAATAGCAGGCTCAAATTAGACTTTTTAAAAGTTGTACAAACAATATTATTTTATTTATTATTTATCCCAAATTCCCTAAATTAAATTTTTAAAATTGAAAAAAAAAATTAGGGCAAGAAGACGATAGCCCCATGGTATATCCATGGGGATAACTCGAAGGTGCTTCCCAATGGCAATGGTTACCACCTTGTCCTCCTTGCCAAAGCCCAATTTACACAATAACCTAGCTTCATGATGGCTGATGGAAATCTTTCCTCTTTTAAAATAATATTACACTAATGATATGTTAGTTTAAATAAAAAAATTTATTTTTTTAAAATAAAATTTTAAATTTAAATTTTATAAAGTAAAAAATAAGTTATAAAATAGTTTCTTTTTATATAAGATTTGACGTAATTTGATTTTAAATTAATTAAAAATTAATGTAAATTCTAAATATTGAAAAATTAATACAAAAAATATAATATTAAAAGAATTTAAAATTTAAATTATACATATAAATAATAAAAAAATTAATGGAAGAGAATTGCATCTCTATTATCATTCATGTACCTACGTAGCATAGTTCAATGTCAAATCATGTCTTACAATTTTGTCAACTCTAATGGTAATGTTTTCCTTTTGCAACTCTAGCACGTTCATAACCATAGAATTTAATTAACAGAAATAATAAAATAGTTAGATTATTTTAGTTTCTTTTGTGCATTATTCTTTCAGGGAGGGAACCAAGCATCAGGTCGAGGAAAATTTAGAGAAAATCCTTCCATATTCCTCCTGCCCCATGGATCAAGAGTTATTATTATCCTCGTCCCAACCCCATTTTGGACGCACTCACGCGGGTGATTTCGTCAACTCAATCCAAACCCAAAAAAAAAGAAGAAGGAAATGTACTTAAATTCTTACTGTGCCAAACTGCCAATCATTTGTACTTGCAGAATTATGCTTTCACATGTATGCATGGTAATTTGCCACGTTTCCTGTCCGTTGGGATGCCAAACTTTTTTTGTCAAAGAAAGCCAAACCCAACATCATAACTCATAAGACATATGGAGTAATATAACATGTGAGATGTTGGTGTCTGAATTGGGATCCATCATGTCTTAAATATTTTGTTTCATGATTGCTCTATAACTAAATTGATATTTAATGTATCACCATTTTGACAATGATATGGTCCTTTTCCTTTTTGTTTTTATGTAGATTTGTTTAATATACAAAGATGCTGATAGTTTACAAGAATACTTATGGAATTAATTGGATTAAAAGTTTGAATACTCATATTATGAAATTGTTTTGGTTAAAGTCAATAGCTATAATCAATTACATTTTCAAAATGCCAAATAACAAGAACCTAAGCTCTGCATAACTCAAAAACATTTAATTTAATCTTATTTTTTGAAGTACACAATTATTGTTTTACTCCTTTTTTTTTTCTTTCTTTCTTTTTTGTCAAGGGGAAGAGGGGAGGGGAATGGATTTGAGCAGGCTTGAACATTCTTTCCATAAGGGATTATCTAGTGCAATATGTTTACTTGATTTGAAGGGTGGGAACTATTTGTAATTTTCTTCCTCCCCAACCAAAGGCGTGTTTTCCCATTTCAATTTTTTCTATTAAAATAATTTCAAGGGATGAATTCACTAGTGTAAATAAGTGTCATTTTGTAAGTCAGTTTTATGGTTTAAGTTTTAGAGCTTATACCTAAAGAAATTAATTTTTTTGAATGCATTATATCAATGTGGATTATATCAATGTGGACTTGGCGACGCAGCTAGGGGCGGTGGCGGAGAATGACAATGAGGTGATTCAACGAATTGAGGAGATGGAGGTTAGAGATCAAAGTGCAAAGAGGATTATGGTAAACTGTGAGGTTGAGGCCGGTGGGAAGGTATGTGATGTACCCAATGATAATTATGTCTTTTAATGTTAGGGGTCTTGGAGGGGTAGGGAAGAAATCTCAAATTAGGGAGTTAGTTGTCAAAGAAAAAATTCAATTTTTAGCAATCCAAGAATCCAAGATGGATGCAGTTGATAGGAAGATGTGTAGAAATTTATGGGGGACTGAGGATATGGATTGGGTTGCAAAGTCTTCTAATGGAATGTCTGGAGGTTTGATATGTATATGGGACACTAAAATATTGAAGAAGAAGGAGACTATAGAGGGTGAAAATTTTATAGGGGTGAGTGGACTGTGGGGACTAGAGGAGATTCCGGTGTTCATTATTAACATTTATTCTCCATGTCAACTTACAAAAAAAAGAGCTTTATGGGAGGAGCTGCAAGGTCTAATTAAGAATAGAAGGGGGATGTGGTACTTAGCAAGGGATTTTAACGCTATAAGGAGGGTTGAGGAAAGAGCGGAATGTAAGGTGGTGTCCAATGAAATGAGGGAGTTTAATGCTTTCATCCACAATTCTGATTTGTTTGACTTGCCACTGATAGGAAGAAAATACACTTGGTATAATTCAAATGGGAATCAAATGAGCAGGATTGATAGATTTCTATTTTCCAAAGAATGGATGTTAAAGTGGTGTGATATGAAACAGTAGGGATTGAGGAGGACTGTATCAGACCACTGCCCTATAGTGTTAAAAAACGAGCAGGTCGACTGGGGTCCAAAGCCGTTCAGATTTTTGGATGCTTGGTTGGAACAACCGGGATGCAAGGAGGTGATTACGAGTGCATGGTGTGACAACGAGGTGGAGGGTTGGAATAGCTTTAAAATTAAAGAAAAGATGAAAAGAACAAAGAAGGCGCTAAAGGAGTGGAGTGGCAAAACCAACAGGGAGATGGATGAAAGAATAAGGAAAGCAGAGTTAGTGATCGCTTCAGTTGATGAGAAAGGAGAGCAACACCAGTTGTCAGATAATGATATTGAACTGAGGAGGAACAGTTTTATTGAATTGTGGAAGAATTTAAAAATCAAGGAAAGGATGTGTCAACAAAAATCAAGAAACCAGTGGCTGAAGGAAGGTGACGCGAACACAAAGACGGAGCAAGAATGGAGGAAATAGTATCCGGATAAATGGGGAGCAGCATACAGGAGTGGAGGAAATAAAGCGAGAGATTGCTAAGTACTTCCAAGATTTGTTTACAGAAGAAAAATGGAGGAAACCAAAGCTAGATGGAATATGCTTTAGGCAAATCACAAAGACCGATAACGAGCTCCTTACGGCTGCTTTTTCGAAACAAGAGATTAAAGAAGCAATATGGAATTGCGATCCATCCAAATCACCAGGACCAGATGGATTCAACTTCAGATTCATCATAACAATGTGGGATGTTACAAAAGACGATATATTCAACTTTGTACGGGAGTTCTAACAACATGGCAGACTGGTCAAAGGGTAAAATGCCTCCTTCATAGTGTTAATTCCAAAAATTGAAAATCCACAAGCAATTGAGGAATACAGACCCATTTCCTTGATAGGAGTCACTTACAAAATCATTGCAAAGCTTCTAGCAAATCGATTACGGAAGGTGCTACCTAAGGTGATTGGGGAGCAACAGATGGCTTTTATTGAAGGAAGGCAATTAGTGGAGGGAGCAGTGATAGCAAATGAGATTATTGATGAAGTCAAGAGGAAAAAGAAGAAGGGTTTTCTATTTAAAGTCGACTTCGAGAAAACCTACAATAAGGTATGCTGGGAATTCATTGAATATATGATGACGAGAATGGGATTCTGTGCAACCTGGAGGAAGTGGATACAGGAGTGCTTGAATTCAAGCTCGGTGTCTATTCTTATCAATGGCAGCCCGATGAACCAATTCCCGGTTAACAAAGGCATCCGTCAAGGAGATCCATTACCTCCTTTTTTATTCTTGATAGTGGCAGAGAGACTAAATGGACTAGTGGCATCGGCTGTGGAGAAGGAGAGGTATAAAGGAGTGGTAATTGGGAATGGAGATGTGATGGTCACGCACCTTCAATTCGCGGATGACACAATCTTCTTTAGGGATGCAACGGAAGACAATATTTGGGTGATCAAATGTATCATGAGGACATTCGAGTTAGCCTCAGGATTGAAGATTAATTACAGAAAGAGCCAGCTGATGGGTGTGGGAGTTGATCAAAATTGGTGCGCTAAAATGGCATATCAATTGTGCTGCAAGGAAGGGAAATTACCATTTAGGTATTTGGGAATAGCAATTGGAGGGAATCATAGAAGAAGAGCTATGTGGCAGCCGATGGTGGAGTCTGTTAGAAAGAAGCTAGCCAGCTGGAGGGGTCGATTTCTATCTATGGGAGGCCGCATCACGCTCATCAATTCAGTGCTGTCAAGTCTGCCAGTGTTCTTGATGTCCATCTATGTTATCCTGAAAGGTATAATTCTTTCCATTGATAAATTACGTAGAAACTTTTTATGGGGGGGGGGGGAAGGAGATGAGAGAAAAATAAATTGGATTAGCTAGGATAAAGTGTGTAAAAAGAAAGAGGATGGAGGTTTAGGAGTGAGGGACTTGAGGAAATTCAACTTGGCATTGATGGGAAAATGGTGGGGAAGGCTTGCAGAAAATGGGGAGGGTATGTGGAAAAAAATTATTGTTGAGAAGTATGGAAAGGGAGGGGGTCATTGGCAGGACTGGTTAGATGAAAATAGAGGAGTAGGATCATCTTGGTGGAGGGATGTGGGTGGTATAAACACAATGGATGGGGGCAGCAATGGATGGCTAAAAGAGGGATTTAGGGTTAATATTAGGGAGGGTAACACGGTCAGTTTCTGGTGGGATAAATGGAGGGGAGAGGAGTGTCTAGCGAATATGTTTCCAAGATTGTATCTGTTATCTACAGAGAAGATGAAGATGTGCAGCGAAATGGGTAGCAGAATTAACGGTTTGTGGGAGTGGAACTTAACATGGAGAAGGAAGTTGTTTGAATGGGAAGAGGAGGAGGCAATGGAATTACACAACATGATTCAAAGAGTGCAGACTTCACAAGGATGCATGGATAGCTGGGAGTGGACCCACAGCAAGGATGGCCAATATTCAACAAAATCAGCATACGCAATTTTAGCAAAAGAGGAGAGGGAAGCAACAGAAATTACAACCTTCTCAAGAATTTGGAACTCTGTCCTACCAAACAAAATTTCGGCATTCAACTGGCAATTACTACAAGACAGGATTCCAACTAAAATGAACCTGCTGACAAGAGGGATAATCAAAGACATCCAAGACTGCAAGTGCGGAATATGTGGGGAGGAAGAAGAGGACACAAAGCATCTGTTTCTGAAATGTAACATGGTCCGATGGTTATGGACGGCTTGTGCAAAATGGTGGGGTATTAAAGTTACACTGGAAGCGGACTGCTGGAATACCTTTCAAGTTGATGGAAGAGAACCAAAAGAGAAATGTATTAGAGATGGATGGGATTGCATTTGGAATTCTCTAGTGTGGACAGTGTGGATGGCCCAAAATCAAAAAACATTCCAAGGCAAAGAGATTAACCGGGAGAAGCTGCTGGAACTCATCCAATTAAAGTCGTTCCATTGGATCACAGCAAAAAAAGAAAGGTATGCCTTCACTTTAACGGACTGGTTTATTAATCCAGTTGCATGCTTGAAAGATTGCCATAGGAAAAGAAAGGTACCAGTTAATTAATCTATGGGAGGGGAGGGTATTGATGATATCTGGAAGGTCTGGATATGTTTTTTGCTTAGATGGATTGAAGTGCTGTGTAATAAGGGCTCTTTAAGGCTTTTTGAGCAATCATTGACTGTAATGGAATTCACCTATAGTCAATGCATGATCAATGCCTTGTGGGTCAGTGGGTGTGACGGGCGAAGGTCTGTTTGATCTGAGAAGGGAGATTTGTTGTGAATGCAAAGATGGCAGAATTCTCGTCACAGGTATAGTGTCGACACTTCTTTTGGGGGTCGACACCTTGTGCTAACTATTGATATTCATGAGTTTGAGATACTCCTTGTACTCCGCTTATTAATAAATAATATGTTTTCTGTTCAAAAAAAAAAATGTGGATTATATACCTTTAAAATCACATGAAAACTAATTTAGGAATACCTTGTCCATAAGTAAAATATTTTCCTCTTAAGACTTGTTTGGCCAGTTTGTCTAAGAAAGTGTACTCAACTTTTCACTGAACATGAAAAAATCAATGATTTCAATAAAACTCTTTTAACAAAAGTTACTAACTTTTTAAGGCAACTTGCACTTTTCATCAGGAATTAGCCAATTAAAGTAAAAAATCAAGTATTTATGCTAACTTTTGATAGAGATTAGTGAGATGGGCTAAAGAAAGAGAGAAACAATGCTACTCTAGTAGAACTCCATGATTTGTTAGTACTAATTCCCACTGATGGTGAACTAATTTCACTGGCGCCTTTTCCATTTCCTTGATTCACTTGGTTTAAAGGAGTAATGAAAGTAATTTTGTGTAAGGAAAATAATTTACTGACAATAATTTTTGATAAAATTTATTGACTTTCAGAGTAATCCATGTCAAATCACAATCACAAGAGACAAGTTATTTATTATAAATTATAATATTTTAAGAGAGTTAAGTATAAATAAAATTAAAACTT